GCTTCCCCAGGCCCCTTTCTGATCGAATTCAATCTCCAAATTCTCCCAAATGGGAATTTCCCTAAATTACTGTTCCCAAAATGGGGGAAATTTATATAGGGCCCCGTATTATAATAGGAACCTACATATAGGACCCCGTATTGACAGTAATTTAGGACAATCCCCAAATGGCGTGATGGTGAGTGAAGGCGCCATGGTCATATCCATCATCGTCTGAGGGTACAATGTCTTTCACAGCACTAGCAATTCTCTCCCCAAGTGTCCCCCCAAGTGCCAAGGCTTTGCCATCGTCATACATCATTGTACTCAATTTGACGGCAGTGAAGTAGTACAGTGAGATTCGAGCCACAGGCTTCTCTCTATTGCCCTTGCATCATTCTCCAACCGAACACGAAATGACAGTTTCATCGCTACACTGGTGATTGCTTACTAGGCCTGCTTGCCATGCTTGCATCCATCCCAGGCGAAAAGTTTCAAATAATGGGCCACAGCCCGCAGTCCGAACCTTGAACGCACTGCATCTGAAGCATCAGACCGAAACCCTAAACCCCGAAATAAAAGAGTGAGAGCTCTGGGCTTAAGTTTAGGAATTCAGCTCACAGTCCTTTTACCATGAAGTGTGCGGAGCCCTTAACTGTGAGTGCTTCTCGAAATTATGGGGCCTGTCGCGGGAATCCTGTGAGAGGATGCTGCTGTTCTTGGTTTACAAGCAGGACCCTACCTAATGTCGAGAAACATTATACCCCCCCAGCAGTCACGAACGAAACTGAAAGAGGCATGAAAGGGACTAAGCAAGAACAACAGAAATAGGGGTACATTACTTGGAGACCCCCCCCTCCGATAGGACAGACCCCCTTAGAAGGCGACTGAGAAAGTACTTATATACAAGGGAACCTAGAGACCTACAGGTTACCTACATAGAGGGCTTTCCTTGTGGATCTACCTGACGAGAGGCTACATCAGGGACATCAAGGTTGTTGTTCGCCCCAATCTGTAAACCCTAACTGGGGCTGTCTCAAATTGGGAGTCCTTTTTAGGGGTTCCTATAGTAAGGATTACAGTCATCGTATTTAGAGGTCTTAATTGCGGTCCCACTTTTTTTTTTATGGCAGCTACCAAACCAAAAACATGACACACCCAGATTTCCTGCATCTGCTTCCAGCCCTCGCAGACAAAACCAGCTCCCTGGTAGCGAGAGAGTCCTTAGAGACACGACTTCAAGGCATAGGCTTTTACAGGTTTAGGGACCCTAAACCCTAAACCCTAAACCGTTTAGGGTTTAAGGGTTTAGGGATTTAGGGGTTTAGGGTTCAGGGCAGGGCCCTGGATGAGTAGAACATGGTTTACCAAGCTAGATTGTGCTTTAGTAAAATCAGGATGATAAGGGACTCAATTCATAATTTGTACTCTAGCAAAATCAGGATAACAGGTGGACTTTATTGGTCATTCGCCGAGGCATCCAGCCTTGGGGCACTTGGAATCCTCGTTCTCTTCACCAAATCCCCTATGCGTCCTCCCACCCTCCCCGCCCCCTGCTCGACTGGGCGCGGCCCCTCAAGAGTGGTCTAAACGTTAAACCCTCAGCCTTGAACCCCAAACCCTAAGCCCCAAACCCTGAACCGCGTCATTTAAGATTTCGGGGTTTGGGGTAACGGCTACGGACTGGTGAGCATTTTGTGGTATATACTGCGGTTGTATTGGGATACTAGAAAGGAGTGCGGAAAGTAGTACATTAGAGTAGGGTATGTGTGAGAGATATTTAAGGATAATGGAAAAGAAAATGGAGGCTGATAAATTGGAAACTGGTAAATCAGAATGGGGTATATATTGGGGTTCTAAAAGGATAATGGAAAAGAATTAGAAACTACCATATTTCAAGAGGGTACATGTCTGAGTTATATCATATAACCCAGGCATGTGCCCTATAGTTATGTAACTAATGTACACATATGATTTAATAGCAGACAGCCTACACAGCCCTTCTTCTTCTCTCTCTCGTCTTCTTCTGTGGGTAAGGGGGCGCTTCGGGTATTGCGATTGCTCCAGGATGCACCCGCAGCGCAGCTTTCACACGCGAGATAAACTGCCGGGCAATCCAACATCCGCGCTTTCAGGCAGAGGATTGCTGGCCAAATAGGCTAGGTTACTATTAAGGTAGATGAGAAAGCCCAATTATTTACTATGCACCCACATTAGTTCGGGTTCCTTAGCAGCAACCCAGAAAGCCCTGTATCAACCTTTCAGAAAAGCGTGTCTTTCCGTAATCTGCAGCGCAACATCCGAGGCGGGGCACGCGCTAGCGTTTCCCAGGATTCGCACGTGTATGGGTTGCTGTGAGAGAACCTAAGTCAGGTTCCTATAACGGGAAGAGCCATATTAAGTACCATATATACCCATCCCTAAACCCTAAATAAGCCTTAAACCCCTAAGCCCAAACCCTAAACCCTAACTCCTTAACAGCAACCCAGTTGCATGGTAGGGTTTTAAGCTCTGGGTTTTGTGCTTCATGGCCGAGGGTTAAGGGTTTAGGGTTGAACTGGAAGCTTTTGGTTTTAGGGTTTAGAGTTTGTCATCGATCTCAGACTGCGTGGTGCCTTCGAAGGCTCATGGGACCTGGTAACCAATCATAGCCGGGGGCTCAAGAATACTTCCAATTTGAGGAGCCCTTACAAGTATATAGACCGTTTATGCGGGGTTCCCAAACTTATGCTAGCTTTTGGGCTCTTTTGGTTTCTGAGTCTAACGCAGCTCCTGATTTGCGATACTCAGCGTACCTAAGCAACGTATTTTGACATCCTACCACCCAGCACATGTTTAAGGGGCCGGCTTGACACCCCAAAACCCCAAACCCCTAAACCTCACAAAGCAAGTCGAGATTCGTTCGTTGACCTTGACAGCAAGGTAGCCGCGCAAAGTGTTGCGGATGAACTGATGGTACACCTGGACTTGACGGGTTTAGGGCTGACGGGTTTAGGGGGTTAGGGGTTTGGGGTTTAGGGCTTGAAGGGTTTAGGCTTTGGGGGTTTAGGCCTTGAAGTGGTTAGGGGTTTAGGGTTTTAGGGTTTAGGGCTTGAAGGGTTTAGGGTTTAGGGCTCAGGGGTTTGGGGCTTGAAGGGTTTAGGGGTAATATACGGGTTATACTGGGATAATGAAAAACACAATGAAAACGGCTATTTGGGGGTTTAGGGTTTAGGGGTTGAGGGATTTAGGGGCTTAGGCCTACGTTTTGATTTTGTAGGGGTTTAGGGTCTAGTTTATTGGGTCAGGGTTTGGGGCTTCAAGGTTGGGAGGGGGATACTTTCGGGACGACAGTACTACTTATTCAGGATTCTACAGTATGCTTCTTCAACCGAACATGGAACCCTCACAAAACCCATCAAGACAAATCCCCTCCCCCTAGTCTTAAACCCCGCCACCCCCCTAATATAAAATACTCCCCATTGTGGTATATTATACTATATTGGGAGTATTTCAAATTAGGATGGGTCTTGGGGTTTAGGTTTAATATTAAGGGGAGGGGGTTACCGTACTGTCGAAACGGGCCGGACGGGATGCCAGGTTAGTTTGGGGCAGGGCAATTCAAATCCTGGAGCTAAACCTTAGCCCTAATCCCTGAATCCTGGGGTGAATCTCCAGTCTCTAACCCCTATTCAAAGAGGGCCTTAGTGCCAGAAAGCGTCAGAGGTTGAAGAACACGGTCGTTGTTCAAAATTCCAAACAAAATTCCAAACCCTTAAGCCCTAAACCGTAAATCCTGCACCTGCCCGCCGAATGGCAATCAGATACGCTCCCGGTTCGGCAAGGACCCGCATTTAAGGAAGTGTGTTCCTGTGTTCCCAATGGTCCCTTGTGTACAGGGAACTTTAGGGTTTAGGGTTCTAAAGATTGCCGCTTTGGTGTTAGGGAGCATGGTCTCTCCATGCACGGCGTAGGATTTAGGGTTTAGGGTCTGGGGTGTTTCTCCAAGCATGGTGTAGCATTGTATCCCTGAGGGTCCCAGGACCCGACTATGCTGGGTTTAGATACCTGACAGCATGACATTTGGGTACTCTGGCACCCTGGGGCAGTGCAATAGTAACGTGGCAAGGCACCAACACCCCGGAAGCCTTTAAATCTTAACCTTTGACTTTGAATCGCAAAGCTCAGACTGGACTAGATCCTGTAGAGCCGAAAGTGTGGTTATCTTTATGTACTCCAAACTAACATGGCCCTCCAGTATATATCCTTATACAAACCCCCCAGAACCCCTTTGAAGGGGCCCCTTCTCTGCTTCCTTATTTGGATAGGCTAAAACGTTAAATCGATAGGATGTGGGCTTAGGGCCTAAACCTCTAACCCAAGCCATTAAGTAAGGGCCCACATACTTGTCAACATTATTATGATGTCTATTTGAGGTACCCTATGCCCTATATTGCCATAGTTCTACAAGAACTCTATGCCCATACTATAGGTACTTATCCCTAGAATCCCCATGTCATGTTTCAGTTCATTTTCGGCTTGATTCTCCTCAAACCCTAAACCCTAAACCCTGAACCATAAACCCTAACCTAAAACCGTTCATTCCGGGCTCGACACTCTCTGTGTGACGCCAGAAGACTTGCCCAGGCGAAATTCCACCTGCACCCAGCACCACTTTTCAGAGGTATCTGTGGGATATAAGGTTCAGTGGACAATCAAACGGAACAGACAATGGAAAATGCAATGGAAACTGGGGGTAGGCAGTGCTGTACAGGGAATTATATAGGGTCAGGGTCTAGCTGGAAGTTTACTGGGCTTACCAACCACCTTTAGCTGGGGCTAGAACCATACCTGTATTTAAGGTGACCTCAGGCCAGTTATGATGGGTTATAAGCCCTGTCAGAACTAGTTACTAAGTGCCACGAACCTCCGAGTAGGGTTGCGGGTTGGGCGATTTGGGGTTCAGATTTCGTTCCACGCCCTATACAACCCAAATAAGACATAGACATAGTACGCCAAAAAATCAAAGCCCTAAACCCTAAACTCTAAACTCCAAACCCTACACCCTGAGTGACACTAAACCCCAAACCCTAAACCCTAAATAGTAGCTTCAATTTTCTTTTCCTTTATCCCGATATATACCCCAATATACTATAGTAGTTACCATTTTATTTTCCAGTATCCCAATTTCACCCCGATATTCTATCGTCATTCCCAGAACTAGCATGGCTGCCTTCTACAATGGCAGATGTTTCTGTAGGGAGCCTTTAGGGGTTTAGGGTTTAGGGTTTAGGGTCGTGTACACTATGATCCCTTAAGTATGGTAGGATCCTAGGGCGCCACAAGCCTAAGCTAAGTACATCCTGGCTGCGGAGATAGACTTGTGCTACTGAACTAAATGGACATAACTGAGCAGGTCCTGCAATTTAGGGTTTAGGGTTTTGCCGCTGTGGACCTCGATGGCCCACATAGACCCAAAAATATCATCCAAATTATATGGACCTCCACACACAAACGGAGCCCTAATTCTCAGAAATCCTAACCCCGACCGTTTCCTAAGTAACCTTATAAGGAAACCCGATATGACCACCTAGGAACCTCTTTAAATCTTTAATTTTGAAGGGGCCCTAATGTTGAAATCGAAGCCTCCTTCCTGGCCAACGTTGACCGCTCGGCTTCGTCCTGCGATTTGGTTGTACTTAGAAGTTCCAAGGAGTTAATCACCACTCGTGTAGGACTTAGGGTTGAGGGCTTGGATTCAGGGACTTAAGTGGACACCAGAAGAAGGCAAAACCTGCGGCCGAAACCCAACAAAAATCAAAGCTCACTTGTTTGGGGTCCAGGTCGTGACAACTTGTGGCCTGGCTCATAACTCCATCTAGAATTGGGCAAGAAGTTGCTAGGCCCCATGAACCCTTAGCAAGCGAAGTCCAAAACTCTGAGGCCTACCATCCCCATATGGCCTTAAGTAAGCCCTATACTACTCCCCTTATGTAGTCCCCTATGTAACCCTTTTTTAAGGAGTTTAGACTATATATAGCTCATATAACCACCGTTGAGAGACCAACGTCCCAGGCACCTTCTAAACCCTAAGCCCTAAAGCCATAGGTACATGGCAAACCGGACCACTGAATAAACACCACCCCCAAAGAGAGAATCCAGTCTAGGAATCCTAACAAGACCCATGGTTTAGGTTTCACGACCCATGATTTAGGGTTTAGGGATGATTGTTAGGAACCTCTAAACAACATAGGGTTGACATGGAACCCCCTAGAACCCCGAATCCCCTCCAAAACTAGCAGGCCCCAATAGCCCCTAACAGCCTGTATACAGGCCTTCATAATCCTTTAAGGGATGCCTATATCAACCCTACAAGATAAGTGCCTGAAAGGGCGGGGTCGGCAGTCAAGAAATTCCGCAGTCGAAGTAGGGTTTTCTGTGCCTCTCCTCTCTCAACTGGGTTGCTGTTAAGGAACTTAAACTAAGTTACCATATCATGGGTATATAGGAAATGAAGAGGTTTCCGTACTATAGTAACCCTAAACCCTATGAGCCTTTTCTGTAGCAACTCAACGCAAGTTCCTTAATAGCAACCCAGTAAACCCTGCCTGGAAGGGAAGCAAAATGCTTGCAGCTGTTCGGAGGAGAATGCGTCCATCGTCAGGTGCTTCTTACATGGGGACTTAGTAATTAGGTTGACAACCCCCTTTAAGCCACAAAATGGCCCCAATTATCCCCATGTTAATCTACTTACTAAGTCCCCATGACCCTCCAGGTAGAACAACTTGCACACTGCAATCCCAACCTGCAAGCCGCTTACAAGCAGTGACACAGGAAAGGTGCTCATCTGACAGTATGCTATATCTCTTGAATAGGTCCATTGCACCCTTTATAAGTAATCTAAACCCTAAACCTCTTATAAGTAACCCTAAACCCTTACCCACTAGCATCCGCAGGGTCCCCCAAAGTAAGCCCACAAAATGCAACCCCGAAGCACCTTATAGTCTAAGGTTGGCACTATGAGCCCTTAGTATGGGTTTAGGGGGGTTTAGGGTTTGGGGTGGGCCCTTAGTCCTGGGATCCTTCAACATGTCCATTAGAATATGTCCATTAGCTGGCCCACGATGTGCTATAAACTTAAACCTGATTAAGGGCCCGTAGTTAGGACCCTAAACCCTTAACCCTAACCCACCCTGTACCCCAAAACCCTAAATCCTAGCGCACCTTAGGACCTAGATAAAAAGTTTAGGGTTTGGGGGTCCTCTTCCCCTAAACTCTAAACCCCAACAGACCGGGGTGCTGCTGAGAAACTTACTTAAATCTAGTTACTATTCAGGACATCCTATTATTATTCCTTAACAGAGACCCCAATAGAAACACCCGGGAATGGTTTAGATTGTCAGAATTGTGGCTGCAGTCTGGGTTTCACATGGAATACGGCCTCTACTATTCACAGTGCCCAAGAAGAGACCACAACTTCGACTCCACTCCATATCATATGAACCTGCATACCCCAACCCTCCATGCAGGACGTGGTCTGCGTCCACAGCGCAAGGTTTTGGGTTTAAGGCTTGACAGGAGAGCAGTATTCATGGGGCTTCTTAGGTTTCCATGCCAATCCCCTCCGTGATGATAAAACATCCAACCCGCTAACAATCAACAATGCAGGTATCATTACCTTTGTATAAGGGGGGAATATTGATGATTGGGTGCGGGGTACTCCTGAAGCCTAAACCCTAAACCTAAACTTCGGCCCTAAACCCTCAACCTTAAACCCCTCAACCCTAAGCCCTTGTCTTGGCGGGGTGCAAGTCCTGGACGAGCCCTGTCATGCAAATGCGGAACTCGACCTCCTTCTCTTTGAGAAGCAACTGCGCTCAGCGGCTTGGCTTTCACGTAGGAGATGTTGGGTTTACTTGGAGGGTCATTGGGAGTTAGTAGGCAGGTTAAGAATGGAAAAGAAAATGGAAAGTAGTGTAGGCGTTGAATTTAGGGTTTAGGGTCATGGGGACCTAGTAAGTGGGTTAACAGTGGAAAGGAATATGGAAACTACGAAAGGGCTTAGAATTTAGGGTTTAGGGTCATGGGGGCTTAGTAAGTAGGTCAAAATTTGGATAGTTGGGGTGATTATACGGCTTATCTATGACGCTCCGAGTGGGGTTTCGGGTGTGGGGTTGGGTGGTGTAGGGTTTACTGTTTAGGGTGACTCCAACCTACATAGTACCTGTAGCTTGGTCGCAAGTAATCCCCAAGTACAGGCGCCCTAGATCTAATCGGGTAATAGGTACCACTTCTAATGTTCACTTCACATTCAGAATTCCCCCATGTATAATATCCCAGCGCCGTAACACAATTATATTTCCACCCACATCTATAAAATACAAAAAATGCGATTTTTTTGGGGCTACAATCGTAATGAGCTTTTAATTAACTCTGGACAGGCTTTCAAACCTACCTTTTTGGCAATATTATTCCGGGGCGGGGCTCTCCCAGAACGGAGATTG